TATATATATATAAATACATATGTATATCTGTGTGTATAGAACAGAGGGGTCCTTAGGTACACAGATGCAGGTATGTGGTATGTTTGCATACATCGCGCCAAAGAGTGGAGACCTCTTCACTCTCCCGAGCCCCAGAGCCGTCTGCGGCCTAGGCAGATCGAAGATTTGTGTTGCCAGCAGTCGAGAAGAATGGTCGGGCTCTTGCTTTCATCTCCGAGGAGCCTTGGGGCTAATCGTTTAACCGGTTTGCATAGCTTGGTGGATGACCGCAGGAGCTGAGAGGTGATGAGGAGCTGGTCTTGGCCGCACTGTCGACGGATCCCGGCGCCCTCCTGCAAGCTCCGTCGTCTCTACGCTCGCAAAGGCAGTTCGTCTGCCGGGCTGTTCGACAAGCTGGTATGTCGCTGGAGCACGTGGGCAGCGAACGGAATGACGAAGAGGTGGTGAAGGAAGCCTTGAGCCAGGATGCATCCGCTTTTCAATTCACTGGTGAACAGCTCCGAAACAGCAGCGGTTTCCTATGGGACGTGTTGCTTCGATTTGGTTTGTCCGAAGACTTTGCCTCTGAGCCGGAGTGCGACATCCAGGACGACTTTCCGAGTCTCGCATGTCAAAAGTAAGTGATGTCAATGTTCTTGGTTGGCGTCTGCCTCGCTGTGTGTAGCGTGTGGTGCATGAATCTTGGTTGCTCAGTGGGGGAGTGTGTGTCCAGACAGTGCCATTAAGCTGCTAGTGACTACACGAAGCCGATTTAGGTACGGTCGCCTGGATTCAATGCTAGCTGCTATCTGGTACCCAATCTTCTCTCATACTCACAACGAGCTGTGAAGAGGCTTCGGGTGTGCGTAGTGTGCGAGTGCTTGCGGACATGTTCGAATAGGGTTGGGACTGTGTCGTTCACGTTGTTGCAGCCACGTTGTTTTCTCATCATCAATTTGCAGTTCATGTGTTCCGAACACTATTGTCATTCCTTCATCTTTGCAGGCAGCGTGTGCTTTCCTGTACCTTCTGTCTAGGGATCGGTGACCACGAGTTCAATCAAACGAACATGTGTTGAAGTTCATGTCAATATTCTTGTGCTTGTGTTGTTTGTGAGCCAGTGCCTCTGCAGAACTCCGGATGCATGACGCTCCCTTCGCTCAAAGATCCTACGACACGAAAGGTTCAAGAGCGAATGGCCAGCGATCCGAAATCTGGCCAAGCACACCAATTTTGGACAGCGGTTTGGATGTGCAGGAGCTGTTGCACAAGGTGCAGATACTGGAAGGTGCGGAAGCCATGGTGCCTCGTCTGGAGAGTTTCTGTTTGAGGCCTTGTTTGCTTCAGAGCCTGCCTACCGGGCGCCTACCTGACGCCTGCTTTCCCCGTATTGCCAAATCAGCTCGGCTCCTAGACTTCTTGATTTGCAGAAGCGGCTCCTCTGACTGAGGCCAAGTCGGATCGTGACGTAGTCGTGAAGCTGAGGCGGAGAGACTCAGACAGCAAGCTAAACATGTGCCATCAAAGCTTGTGGAATGTACTTCGGTTCTTTTGGATTCCATGCTTTCCCCGAGTAAGGGTCATGATCAAGAGCTGATGACCGATGACCACGTTTCGACCAGGACGGTATGCCCTTCTGAATTCTCTTGCGCGTCCGTCGCCCAGCACAGAGATGCACAAGGCCCTTGTCGCTTGACAGCTTGTAGAGAAAAACTGCGGTGTTGCCGAGCGGAACAATCGCTTTTGCACAGCCAAGCACCCCAGCATCAAGCCAGGTCCTCCTGGCCGGCGTGTTTTCCTTGGACCGTGCGCTGTGCTCGCTTGAGTGCCTCAGCCCCATTCCAAACAGGCATGTCTGGGTGTGATCTGGTGGGAGCATCCGAGGTGGTTCCCAGATCTGTGGCACTCCGCCCTCTCGGAGCACATGCTTCTTCAGCGTAAGTTGGCTGATGCTGCGGACAAGGTTCTCCTTCTTGAAGGAGTCCGACAGCAAGCCTTGGGCTTGCATCTTCTGTCAGCAGAAGAGTGCAGCGATCGTGACATCGTCTTCGCAGCCTTGGAGCAGAACGGTTCTTCTTTGCGACATGCTGCTCCAGCTCTGCAAGCCGACATCGATGTTGTGTCTGCCGCGCTGCGACGGGATGGCTTCGCGATCTTTTTTGCAAATCCAGGGGTGCAAGACAGGGAGATCCTCCTGCCGGCTCTGCAGTATCACGTTGCTCGAGTTAGGCTGTGGCGATGCCAAGCACATGCGCTGGACTGTTGGCAGATCTGCGAGCTCGTCCAACAGTGCCTGGTTCTAGCCCGGATAAGTCTGGACAAGCTACAGGCAGATGAAGGCCTTGCTTTGGAGATCCTGAGATTGGAGCTCCTGAGCTCAATTCACTACCTTTTTGCATCCTCTCGCTTTTCGCTCGCTGCATGTGCCGTAAGCTTCGGATTCTAGGGTATTCGGTCCATTCCTACGGCGAACAGAAGCTCGATGGAAAGGGGAGCAACATGATGAGGTGATTCTGTCTTTTTGGGGCTTTGCAGGTCTTGCATGCGAGAGCTGGCGGCGGCGTTTCCTGCACTTCGGGAGCTTCTTGCGGCTGAGCTGGAGGATTCCCTCTTCCAGCTGCCTCGCCGGGATGAGCTCCTTGCATTTTCCTTGGCACCCAAACCCACGGTACAAGTACTTTAGCCGGAGGTCAGTTCTTTCGCAATGATGTTTGTTTTGCTCGCTGCTTTCTGCTGTTGCTCTTCGATGTTGCGATACATGTCCTGCCTGTTGCGGTGTCCTTGTTGCATTCTGGTGGGTGTCTTCTGCTTCTTCTGGCTTTGCTTTGGCTTGCATTACATCCTGCATGATGCATCCTTCTTGCCTGCTGCTTTCTTCTGCATGCTTCCTGTCTCCTGTGTGCTTCCCGTCGCCACTTTGTTTTCTGATTTGTGGTCGTTGCCTCTGGCTTTGTGTTCTCTGCTTTATGTTTTTGCCCTCTGCTCTCTCTGCCTTTTCGTGCTGCTTTCCGTCACAGAGTGGTCCCAGAGTTGGAAAAATGTTGCAACAGCCTGTACTGTAGAAGCCTTTGCAGACAGCGCGCACGGCTCTGACGGTCATGTAAAGGCCTGGACCCGGACTATTCAGTGTACTCCTTCATGTATTGGATATCTAGATCAGAGTAGACGGCTGCACAGGAAACGTTTGCAGGCGTTTCTCAGACCGAGTGTTCAGTCAGCTCTTGCCCAGCAAGAGTCCAGCTTTTTGGCCACTTTGCAAGACTTAGAGGCTGAGATCCAGCAGATCCTTTGTGGATTCGGCAGCCCTTCAGCCGCAGAATCATGCACCCTCAAGTTGTGTTTCTATTTTACGGAGATACTGCATCGAACTCTGGCATTGCATCCCTCACCCTCTTCCGAGGTCAAAGACAATTTGTTCTGGCTCCATCATGCATCCGTCGAGCTCCAGAGAGATCGGCGGCTTGTGCTGCGCGCCTTGAAGCACGACCGCTTCTCCTTGCAGCGCCATGTCGTTTAATCGTTTTACAACCAGACCGTCAAGCAGAGCTGCAGAGCAGATCCTTGGAGAGTGCTTGCGCCCATGTCAGGCATGTTCGCGAGCATCATCTTGCTGAGTTTGAGAAGCTCCGACGTGATCCTCGGGTCGTCCGGGAAGCTCTCAGACACAACTCCTGGGTCCTCGGCCTGGCTTCCGAAGAACTGAGGGCAGACAAGCGCCTGGTGCTTTTTGCAGTCGCACAAAGCTTTGCAGCCTTCGAGTTTGCGCACAAAGACCTGCGGTCAAGCAAGCGATTCGTGCTGTGTGTGGTGCGTCTCGGCAGCATGAAGCTCAATCCCCGATTGGATTTTTGAGGAGGGAGAAGAATGGGCGAATTATGTTTTAGCGTATGGTTGTGTTTCAAGCGATCGCATCATATTTCATGACATTGTAGTATATTTTTTTGTGTTGTGTTTCTGAATCTTGCTGTGCACTCACTCAAAACTGTTCTGATGTTCGTTTAAAGTTTAAACATTCGTGCTTATGTGTGCCAATGTGCATCTAATTAAACAGGATCTTGGAAGCTTCACGACACCGAGGCGTGTCGCAGGCTATGCACTACAGTATGCAGATGCAAACCTACGCGCAGATGGCGACGTCGTCCTAGAAGCTGTGCGGCAGAATGTGTATTCGATGGAGTTTGCAGCAGACGAGCTCAAGTCAGACAGGGCCTTCATTTTGAAGGCCACTCAGTGTTGTCCTGAGGAAGCTGTTTTCTTCATTCTGTTAAATTCTGTTATGCATCCGTGTAGAAGGGGCGCCGGCGAAGTCGTTGCAGCTTAGGCAATGAGGTTCAACAGCGCAGTGCTGGAGCTTTCGGCAGAGGTAATCAAAGTCTTTCGGCCTCAGAAGCCCTCACGAGGATGGCAGCCCAGGCAAGTACAGTCGCTGAATGTCGCTGAGCTGTAAGGTTGACAAGGACTTCATGCTAGAAGCGCTCAAGCTCAGCACGGAAGCGTTGGGACGTGCGGGCAAGACGATCAAGTCCGACAAGGACGAACGCAGGGCCGGGAAGCGTTCAGGACTTTGCGGAGGGTGAAACATGACCTTAGGATGCATCGAGTGTGTCTTGAGGAGGTGGTGCTGCGTGCTATCGAGCAGAACACCCTGGCAGCATATGATGCAGCAGGATCGGCCTTGGACAAGGATGTTGTGCAGGAGGCCCATCTACCCGCCATTCAGCATCCCAGGTAAGAGCTGCAGTCAAAAATAGAATGAAAGTGTCAAGCAGATGCAATCCAACGAAGCCTTTCTGTTGCAATTGCAAGTGATGATGGATCAAGTTTCCAAATGCAGAATGTAGTGTGCGGGGTGATGTTCTCGGAGCTTTGACTTTATCTCAATCACTTCCTGGCAGCTGGCAGCGTTCTTGCCAAAGCTTCATTTTCTGCATTTGATGCTGCTCGGAAGACTCTTGTTGCTGCGCTGCTGCTGCCCCGTCTTTGCCTCTACTACTACTGCGACTACTGCTGCAGCAGCTGCTGCTGCTGCTGCTGCTGCTGCTACTCCTACTCCTACTCCTCCTACTACTACTACTACTACTACTACTGCTACTACTGCTACTGCTACTGCTACTGCTACCGCTACCGCTACTGCTCCTACTGCTGCTACTGCTACTACT